AACGTGGGGTTTCTGCAACGCAAACATGCATAAAAACAAAACTTCCTTGAAACATCCACTTTGACTTCTCACAGCAAATCTCTTACACTCTGTGAGAGAGGGTCAGATCCACAGCATGATAACTGGCAAGATTATTCTTAAGCTACTCTTGATACTGCTAAAGGTGAAAATGAACAGTTTTCACTCAATTTAATGCTTTAATCCCCAAAGTGTTACACTCGGTAACATGCTGGCTTAACGCCAAATTGAAAACTGCTTAATACATTATTTCCCATTTTATAATAATTAAGCATTAATTATTGTGAAAAAAATATTAACAAAAATACTTTTAGCACGCTCTGAAGTCTTTGATAAGGCAATTTTACATTAGAAAAGCTCCAGATCTTATCTAATCTGCTTTTCAATCTGAATTTTCCTATACACGTACATAACTAGCTGCACGAGTACTCCTACTGAACTCGATGAAAATTGAGCAAGTATTTAAGGACTCTACCAAGTAAAGGATATAGATGGGTACTTCTAAAGCCCATTTACTTTTCTGGATAGCCCACTGGTCCTGGGCACATTTGCTGTAGTATTTTTCTGCAGTATTTTCTGGTTGAGAATTTGAGAACTGGCAATGAAAAATATGACTATTTGTGATGCACTGGCCCTGATCTTACAGGAAATTATGTATCTGCTTAATCATGAGCCTGTCAGAAGTTTCACAGATTTCAGGACAATTGCTGAATTTAAGTATATTCAACATTCGCAGGACCAGGATGAGCAGGAGTAACAGCATTTTTAATGCAACATATACTAACCCAACTAACTCTGATAAAAACAATGACTTCTGGAGCCTCAGAAAATTTTAATAATAAGACTAAATTGTACCTTTCAATTACATAAGATTCATGGACTTAATCACTTTAAAAAAAAATTAACCCATACTATATCATAGCAGATCCTGTATTGCCAATTCAACTTTTGTATTCACTAAAATAATTTACATTTTAAAATGTTATGATAAGTATATTGCAATCAAGTGTAGTCATATACCACTTTGAGCCTACCTCGATCGGCACAAACTCCCTAATAAAGCTGATTCCATGTTCTTCCATATATTCGCCAATTTTGTTTGCAATATCCTGGTCAAATCCTCTTAAGAGGATGGATCTCACCATTACAGTGACATCTAATCCAAGACCTGCAAGAAATCCCGCACATTCCAAGGCAACATAGGAAGCTCCAACCACCAGGGTTTTCCCTGGACAGTAAGGCAGAGAGAAAAGATCATCACTGGTAAAAAAAGAGGGAAAAAAAGAAAAGAAAATTAGAGACAACCAGAAGAATGTACTGTGCTTATATTTATCTAATTTCTTCTGTAAGAAAAGGACTTTATTCTTCTTCCTGCTCACTAAAAATCCAACAATTTTTTGGAAATTCAGCTGGAATACAAGATTAGCACATGACAGATTAAAAAGTTCTAATTAGGAGTACACACAAAAAAGAAGTATGAAAATTCTGAATCACCACGAAAATTTTGAGGATTTTTTTTTTTTTTTACAGAAACTTAGAACAAACGGTTAAAAAACGTAGGTTACTTTTTTTCTCTGAATCTTGCTTCAAGTATTTTGCTGCAAATCTTAGCTCCTGAGAGCTAAAAGGAAGAGGAAGGGATTCAGCTTTAAGATAAAAATACTATTTTCACTTTGAAGACTTATCCTTTTACTAAAGCATTATACACAGTGCCAAATATACACAGACAATAAAACAAATTAACACAAACCACAGTAACAGGCACAGACAGAAGTACAAAATTACAGGAAACGTTTATTTGCCTGCTTTCCATTTCTTTCAACTGCTTCATCAAGCTGTGTCAGTTCTACCACAGTTTGGACCTAGGCTATAAAATCAGGCCTTCTCAAGGAAGCAGGAACTCATGAAGGCATCACACTTGCTCAGCAGAGACTTAGGCAGAGTTTGGCAATGCAGTTCTCCAAAGATTTAAATCTAGAATAAGTGTCCCTTTCTCAGCCAACAACTACAAAGACTAAACAAAGATGCTCTCTGCAAATGTGATGGTGGAATAAAATGTGATTGTGTAATTAAAGGCTACATCATAGTTCCTAACCCCCAGGGAACCCAGTGAAGATTACACAGCCAGCCTCAATCTGATAGTCTTTAACTCTGGCATACCTGACTCTTTCACCTCAATGTTATTTTCACCACTTTACAGGCTATATTATCTGTTACCTTTAATTTCACTACTACTTATTAGAAGGGAAACAACATGGTGGTGTGGTTTCACAGGGATTATGCTGGTTATTTATTTCATTACTGTAGGTTTGCAAGCCTGTAATTCCAACCTCTGCTTCTACATTAAGTAACTTAAAAGTTACTCTGATATGCAAACACATTCCATCTGTATATCACATTTTTTTGGTCAAAATTGTGCTAGAATTGCTTGGTCTTATCAATTAATCAGACATCTGAAATCGGTTTTCCCAAAAGCTGAATTAACGTCACTGAGTAGCTAGAAAAAAATTGGGTTGAGTTTCAAGACTGCATCAATGCATGAAGACAGATACATTTCTACCAGCTTCACAAAATCAACTGCTTTGCAACTCCCGTTTTCCTTGATATTTGAGCAGGGAGGTTTCTTCCAAGCAGACTGTGCTCTTCATTACCACAAAAATTCCACTATGTGAACTGAAAGATCGTAAGAAATACAGAGGAAATGGGTGTACTGGTAACCATGGCAGAGCTGACGAATTTATTTTATGATGCACATGCACATGATTTACAGTATTCTCGGTTACTGCCGTTATCAGTCAGAAACAGAACCATCTTAGCCAGCCACCCACAGTCTTGCGGTGTCTACTAGACACCAATGTTTTTGGCACCTTAAAATCTGTCTATAGCTATCCTCCTGTGCTTACTTTCACCTAAAACAAAGTTACATAGGAAAGCAAACCAGCAACCAAGCAGCCACGCTCATGCTTCACCACTTTCTCTTACAGGTGAAGCATTTGCACACGGTGAATGACTGCATATTTCTATCTGTTTTTACCTGCTAATGCAGTATTCCTTGTCTCCAGGTATACCCAGGTAGCGTGGTCGTTCACCAGTGGCAATGAGAAATCTCTCAGCTGTGTACAGCTTCTCAACTCCTCTTTTATTTGTTGCCTGTGGACAAAGTATTAGTCCAAAGTGAGTATTTTGCAGTCCTACCAAGGGAAAAATTATTCTATTTGAAAAGCATCTCTATGCAGAAAGCACTATAGGAAGATCCACTAAACATAGCTAGGGAGTACCTTAATTGTGTGTGGCCCAACAAATTCTCCGTATGCATTCTCATACGTGACTTTCTTCTCTCTCAGTGCAACCCGATAGCCCCAGTTCAGTGAACCAATGTAATTCTGAACAGATTCTGTCATAGTCATCCAGTTGTGTTTGACTGTTAGAAACAAAAGAAAAAGTCTCATCTTTCAGCCTGTGAGCTCTTCTTTTTCCACAGCAAACCTTGTATGCTCAGACAGATTTTCTTTTTTTTATGACCGGGTCACATTTGTCTTATTCCTTTTTCATTCCAGGGTAACTTTACTGAAATTCAAAGAATTACATCAGCATAGACAACATGAGAGGTCACAGTGGAACAGACATGACTTAAAACATGGAAAATTTAGACATACTGCACTATCAATAGTTTTCTACTGACACACGCTGTGAGCAGGTGACATTGCTTAACAAATGAAGACTATGCATCTCTGAGAGGTCCCTCTTCATGTTCCTTACAACATGGATTACACCCTAAAAAAATCCCAACCCTATAACCAATCATGCACATTAGAGCCAATATAAAGTAAAATTCATCTTCTTACATAGTAGTGACAGAGCTTGAAGGAAAGGAAATCCTTGCCTGCAATTATGAGGAAGTTTCGAACAGGGGACATTCTGGGGTATTCCCTTAGATGTTGCGTTACATTCAGAAATGGAGTAGTACCTTATTGCTTTTATTCACACAGCAATCTGATCAAATATTAACATAATCAGAAGCTGTTAATAAACAGATCAAACATTGCAAGGCAATAAGCCCCATGGCTTTAGACTTGAAAAACACTTAAGTTTATGTGTAATCTCTCTGAAGTTGCCTCACATTCTTAAAGTCAGCACATGCTTAAGTGCAACAAGCACTTGATTGTGAAAAGAACCTCTGGATTTTCAGCACAAATGACAAAACTGCAAAAAAGTGATCTCCTCCTTTACCTTCTTCTGTAAACTGCCATCCAAATTTGCGTGAATCTTGCAAGGCTTGTCCTAGTAAAGCTGCCTGATGCATCAATTTTTTAGGTATACAGCCCACATTTACACACGTTCCTCCAAGACCTGAGGAAGGAACAGAATGTGTTTTTCACATCAGTGTGGCTGATCTCAAAGGAGAATCAGAGTCTCTGAGTAAGGCTCCTTTATAACAGGTTTGTGATGAAGAGAAATTTACCCCATGAGTTTCCCAGAGGTGTAGGCATGACAAAGTCCAGCACCATGACTTTCTTTTCATATTTGGCAGCCTCCTGCAAAACAAATTACATAAGATATGTATCTAAATATTAGAGGTTAAATTTGGAGTAGATGACAATATCATGCATTGCTGAAAAGCTTTGTGACTTTTAATTAAGTAAAAAAAGAAGGATTTGCAAGGGAAGAGCCAGACAGTAATTAATCTTCTGAATTAATCTGTGCGCTCAGTGGGGAGGGGAAAGAAAGGAAAAAAATAGGCATTCATCCAACAGCATGGCACCAGTTGATACACAGAAGACTGGGAGTCAAATCTCCTCTTCTGTCCTCCATCCTGTCAGTTTGTTCACACTATTTCCCAACATGCCATTCACTTTTAACATATTTAACAAATTCTTCATTAATCCAGTTTTCCCTTCAAAGATGCTTTCTCAAACACTTATCTGAAACCAGATCACACAATGACATAAGCAGTTATGTGGCCAAGCATCACAACTGTGCTTATCCATTCTTTTTTCCTGTAGTAGAAGGGAATATCCAATTTTGAGTACAGTCTGTAGTTGTCAGGATCACCTCTTGCTCTTCAAGCTAGTCAACCTGTGGCAAGTTGTCTTTACTGTCAGGATGTGCAGATGTCATCCAGACTAGAAAAGTGATGGTTTATTTCATGACATTCCCCCTGAGAGGTTTCATTAGCAAATCTACCATCAAGGTGTGTAAATGATACTGAGAACTGGAATTTCTATACTGATTCCATTGTACCCTTTGTGCCTTTTAAGAAAAAGGCAAAAATCAACAGCAATAACTTGTACCAGAGAAAAAGACTTAAGTAAGCACTACATAGCTGAGAAACAATAACAACAGATTCCCTCATTAAATACAGTAAAATAACTTTGATACTTGGAGTAACCTCAACCGTGCTGCATCACATGATGAGTTCTTAGATATGTAAGTAATAACAACTACAGGCACAGGATATTAACCTAAGGCCTTGGGTTTGGTTTGGGAGGAGCTGAATAGCCTTCAGCATTATGTTACCAGTAATACTTGTTAATCCAAATAGTTGACAATCAGAATTTCAATTTTAAATGCCTCTTACTTCATGCAAAATACAAATCACATTTCAAACAATGCAGGCTGTACACACCTCTGGAAAATATTAATGTACTGGATTTCTGCTTCTGATGAAAGTCAGGTTTGGCCCAGAGGCTAATTTCCATGCATTAGTAGCACCTCCGAGAAAGTTCCTTAGAACGGTGCTTAGGGACTGAGATGCGTTATTAATGCCCTTTTATAATGACAACTCTTATACACAGCTCAAAAGAGCTTTACTAGTGTTAGCTAACTAGAACACATGGATTCCCAAGCTTACGCTCAGCTATACGCTCACAGAATACAGCAGAGCATTGCGTTGTCTCCTCAGTAGAGATCACAAACAGATATAACCACTTCTGCACAGTGATATGCCTACAGTAACAAAACCTGACCTGTAGGCTTTCAAACATTACTGGGTTCAGCGCAGTGCTGCATGGACACAAGCAGGTTGCTTAAAGCTGTTCTGTGTGAACTGATAGTATTGGCCTGGCACCTTGGTCTGGGTCTGCAGCTGAGTTGCACTGAGTCAGCTTGGCAGCGTTTGCACTCACCATGGAGACATGCCTTCAAAATAATAAGCTCTGAGCACAATACAGAGAGGAAAAGAAAGACACGCACACAAAGTTGCACGTGTCATAGTTAAAAGCACGCTTTTAATCAACCTAGTTAAACTGCTGCAAACCTGGGTGTAGATATCTAGAACTTGGATTAAGAGTTGTGTAGTTTTGGTTTGGTTTTTTTTCCTTTTGTTCTGCTTTTTAAAGCACTGTTTGTTAACTCACTAAAAAAATCTGAATAATCTAAGTCAGAAGTTTACACGTAAAACAGTTGCACTTCAACTTCATGAAACTGATTTGAAACACACACATTACTACTGATAGTGATGTTGACTTTATTGATCTATTGACTTCTGCCCTACTCTACAATCACTTGAGAACACTAAGAAGCAATATACTTTATACACCGAGCTGAAGGAATAAGGCAATTTATCTACCTAGCTACACATCTTTTCTGTCCCACAGCTGAAAAATGATGCAATAAACATCACTACTGTAGCTTCACTACCTAGCATACGTATACAACAAAGCAGAGCAGTATCCTTATGGAAATTTCAACAGATGGCTTTTCATTACTGCAAACTGGTTTTGCATTTCTGCAAGCTCACCTTCACTCTTGTTACTCTCTTCTGTCCTAAAACATCCCCATCCTCTGAAAACCAGTGTCTGCTTCTCTTCGCAAGTTCTCGGAATTTTTATAGATCTTATCTTCCATCCTACGCCATGACAATACTGACCCTATCAATGGGAAAGCAGTAAACTACCAAAATAGATGATGGACACATGGCAAATTACAATCCACCACTCAGCACTGCACTCTTCCATTGTAACAGAAGTTCTTCTAAGGGACCAAGCTTCAGTGTGAATCCAACGCTATGCTGAAATATTTCTCCTCATTTTCTTTCACTCCTCAGTGACCTCCTCCACTTCTCAAGAACAAAAGAAACGCCTCCTGTCTGATGGCATAATCCAGCTCCAGGTCTTGAGCAACAAAATAGTTTTAGTTCTAGGAATGCTCACTTCATTTCTAAATAATTAATTCTACCACAGTAAGAAGAGGCAAAATGTGCCTAAACTACTGACGTACAGGACAGTTACTGACTTACATTAAATTTCAGCGAGTTTCAAATATCTGGGATAATGACAACTCTAAGAGCTGCTATATTCCGCACCACTGTGAATTCTTTTAATTAATTCTAGATATGCTTCTAAAAGCAATATCCTAACCAAAAATCATAAAGTATTTGGCTACAGACCCTAGAAAGGAAGGCTGAGATCCTAACTCTGCTTAAGCATAGGCAAAATCTCCATTTACACAAGTATGTGAGCTCACAAATCACAAAAACCTCCCCCATTGCCAAGAATTAAAACAACATACACAACTATTTCTGAGCAGATACTACTTTCAGATAAAACTAGAAATCTTCTGATGTTAATTTGATTAGTTTTCAAAACTTCTTCAGTTATGAGTTGAATTTTAATTGAATTACTAATAAACCCTGTTATCTACCTGCTCTTTCCCAATAGCATCATCTTCCACTAGTGGGGATCAAGTTTCATTCAATTAACTGACATTTTTATGTTTTTCTTCTTCAGAACATAAGGAAAAGAATATTGTATAACTGGGGCTAACCTCAAAAGAAATCCCACTGATGAGGCAGAAATGTTTTGTCCCTACAGTCTTAAAGATACCCAGATCCATGACGTTGAGGTTGTCACCCACCTACTTACAAGGAAAGTATAGATCTGTATTTTATCTCTCATACCTTGGCAGCTGCCAGACCACCTGAGCCCCCACCAATGACAATGAGATCATAGTCGTAGGAATGCAGCACTGGCGTATGCCCGTTCATTTCCACCAGTTCCTCAGGCTTGCCTTCCTTATGTGCATGAACAGAGAAAACAAAAAGGATTAGAGAACATTGAAACATTACCTCAAAGATTAGTATTTTCAGCAGCAAATACTGTGATAAGGGAACATAAGTGCATCTGAATTTTCTGAGCTACGCTTTTAATTGGCTTTTTAAAGTTTCGTCTTCTTAATCCATCCTTGAATAGATCAGTACCTATTAGATACTGAACTACGAATTTTCTTGTTCGTTGGAGCCCCAGGTTTCCTTGCAGAGCTTAGTTTTCCACATCAAGACAACTCACGTGCTTCCTCATACTGTGTGCTCCAGGATGAGATACATACCTGCTGACACAGGCATTCCTTTAATTTATTTTAGTCTTTTCATCTGCCCTGGACTTTCCTAATTAGCTTTTTTCCCCTCCTCCTACATATATTAGTCGGAAAATACAACAATCATATACAACATTGTAATAATCTGCAATTACCAGCCTTACCAACCGAATGAACAGAACTGAATAAAGAAAATAATTTCTGAAAACCACATTTTTGTAACATACCTGTGTTTATTATTGCTTTGGTTTAACATTGGAACTAACTCTGGTGTCAAATGGATCAAGTGTGCTTACTACAGTTTCACAAGAGATTATTATTTTTTTTAATCAGATGACTATTATCATAGAAAAACAACCCATAAGTCCTAAAATTTTGACAGCTGTATGCCACAAAGAACATTGCGTTGTCTTCATATACTCTTTCTAAAATGAGCCTTTGTACTTAATTTGCAAAGCTCCAATTTATCAAGGTTTCAGACCTTCAAGCCTTTGGAGTTGCTGGCAAATTTCTCAGTGCCTCTCAAACTGCAGGACAAGACCTGAAGTGAGTAAAAATCAGATTCCTCAGCTGTGGTAGATCAGTGAGTACCAACTAAAGTCATGACCATACTTTTAAGATCAAAAAAGTAAAGAAACCCATACTTAAGTCACCTTACAAGTCTGCTCGCTTTTATTCAAGTGTTTCTATCTGCCTAACTAGGTAGGACTTGATTCAGTACTACTGAAATAGTCACAGCAAATAAAAGAAAAAAAAAAATTAAGAAGTTTCCCTTCTCTTTTCATCTTAATTTTTTTTTGCATTAAGCTGCCCTTTGTGTTCAACGCACGCTACTGTTGCCTTCCTCTGACGTTAGGTTATCCTCTCTCTGTACGTATAACTGTGTCTACCAGCACAGCCACATCACTGACAAAAAAATCCCCTATCCCTTCAGCCAATTACACAGCAATGTCAGCAGAAATTCAGACTGCACATCTGCCTGTAGAAAGTTACATTTTAATCGTATTTCATAACCCTGAGTAGCATGTTAATAGTAGAAACAAAACCTAGAAAACATCTGTGGCTGTCATGAAGACATCCAAAAATACCTCATCTTCCTTCCTCTTCTCCTCTGCTCCGCCACCCCAATATATACCCCTACCACTGAATCTTCTTTGTGCTTGGTTCCCCTTTTTTCTATTTTTCTAACATGGCCAGTGGCCAGGCTCAAACTTCCTACTGCAATCAGAGTAAGAGTGAAAAAGAACCATATATTGTATTATGATATGCAGTTTCACTTTATTGATATTTAGGGACATCAAATTGGAGAAAGCGTGCCATTCTTTTCCAAAGCACACCTTCTTTTTACTCAGTGGCAACAGGATGGTGTGAAGCTTAAGCGCAGACTAACTCCCACACAGTCATCAGACCAACTACCAAGAACGGTATCTTTATGATGCATGTAAAGAAACCACAATACCTACGCATGAAATTTGCTTAGATCACTACCTATACCATGCTACTTTTTCTTTTTTCTTTCAAGAACAATGCTTTCTGTGTCCCCATGGATTAAGAAACTCCAGCTATTATTCCCTACTGTTTGGTTCATTTTTCTTTAGTTCTTCATAATCATTCTTCTTGAAAACACATTAAAAGTTTAGATCAAAGTAGATTACAACCTTCCTCCCTGAAACCACCTCCTAGAACCCCTAGATCCAGAGCAGCCAGGATCTTGACAAGCTCTGCATCCCATTTACCAGGGGAACTTGTTCATGACCATGATCCCATCCTGAAAACAGTTCTCATCTATTCTTCTCCCAAGAACTGCAATTTTTAAAAGAAAGCCTACACTCTTATTATTTTTAAATGTTAAAACTAAGTTATAGACTTTAAAATTATCTCCCCCTACCTTTAAAGTTTTATCATGATCTCCTATTTGCTTCTTCTGTACAAAAACAACTGGCTGTGAAGTTTCTGCCGTTATTTCGCACTGCCCTTCTTGCAGCTTCCGTGCTCCCTCTGTGAAATAAAGAATAAAATAACATAATGTCTAGAGAGACGTCCTTTATGAAGGCTGCGCTCCTCAAGCGAAATTGTCTAGGGGCGTGGCCTGGCGGCTTCATCGCTTCCTCATCAGCGGCATGCCTGTTTCAGGGGAGCGTTTCCTAAGGCGATGATGAGTCACATCTGCAACGTTAGGATGACTTGCTATATTTTTATCTTTAATAAAATCCCATACAAGAGTTGGCTGGGATTTCAGTAGTTTTTGCCAATCCAACAATACACTTGGAACAAAGCAAGGAAATAAGATTTGCTGTGGCTAAGCCTGAAAGTTCATTCTTAAAGGAAAATGATGATTTTTACATTTTGTGCCCAGAAAGTGGTTTTCTTATGGTGATTTGCTGTCATTTTTTTTCAGTCTTGTACTTTTTAAACTGAATTAAAAGTTTTTATTTTTCTCCTGCAATTAGTTCCCTGGAAACTTCTTTCAGTTCAACTTATTGATATAATTGTTTTTACCATGCAACTCTCCTCCCCCCAAATAATTTCTGCCATATGGTATTGCTCATACTATGAAATCCTCTAAATAAATGTACTCTAAAGTCTGGAAAAGATCTGTTTGCCCACTGGTCATAATTGATTTTACATATATATTGGAATCATAGAATCATTATGGTTGGAAGAGACCTCAAAGATCATCAAGTCCAACCTTCTACCCAATACCCCCATGCCCACTAAATCATGTCTCGAAGCACCATGTCTAAACATTTTTTGAACACCTCCAGGGATGGTGAGTCCACCACCTCCTGGGGAGTCTGTTCCAATGCTTAATATATAGAGAGATATAGATCTCTCCAATAGAAAAGGTTAAGCATATTAGTAGAAAGGAAAAAATTAACATCTTCACACATGGTGATACTTTATTTGATATGGCAGGGGAAAAGAAGAAAATCTAATACTTCACTGGAAGCTATTACCAGTTCTGCCTTCCTCCACCTTACTCTGAGTTACATTAAGCTTAATTTCCAATAAATGGGTCAGTACACGCTTGTTTGTACTTAATCACACACATACTTGGCACTGCATAACCAGCATTAATTAGCAAACTCCAACACGTGCACATATTTAGACAAACAGCCATACTGAATGCGTATACATTCCTTGGGCACTGAGCCTACAAATCTCAAGAGCATTCACATACACACATGCACATAAAGGCAAAAAGGCAGTCATTGAAAATTGGTCTGTAATCTTGTAATCTCCAATTTCTTCTGTGAAACTTGGTGACAAAATACCTTTATCTCACAAAGGTATTCGGAAGAGTACTTTCCTGATGTTGGTAAAGGGGTTTAAAGATCAGAATCATTACACAATAGTTAACAGTAATATTAGTGATGGATAATACTTGGCTTATTCTAGCTTGGGGAAGGAACGCAGGAATTAATCTGTGTATATACACACGCATGTAAAAAAGAAAATCAAGAACACAGGTTTTGAACACTGGTCACAATCTTCACAAAGGAAATTTTTTTTCTTCAACATATTATCAAAGCTACAGTCCTGCATGGACCTGAAGCAACTGAAGTCTTATATTTTATTCCTATAACAAGTTTGAACAATCTCAGGAATGTTCACCTAAAACTATTATCTTCAATGAGATAAAAATCTAGTTGTTAGACAACACAGGCATTTATATAAACATCTCTAATTATTTTCAGGTAGATCTGTGCTAAAGGTGCCTAGCTTTAGCAACAGCCCCAAAACCCAAAGGCAACCATAACCTCTGGCAGAAACTTGAAAGAGTTTGTACGCAGGCTGCTCCTGCTGCTAGGGGCCTCTCCCTTGTTGGTTCGGGCAACCTGCCACAGGCAGGATGACAAAGCAGAAAGTGCTCTGTGCATCACGTGCTTGCTCTTCATAAAATTCCATCCATTAACGGCAATTACAATAACCTGGTGAATTGATACTTTCCAGAAATCAATCAGCAGACACCTTTTTGCACAGAGAGACTGCTAAGGGGAACCTGGACCATGGATCCACTCTGGATAACCCTCAGAGATGTAGCGGTGAGGACAACTCTCTTTTCCTGTAAGCATCAGTGTTACTTCAGCAAGACTGTAGCAACCCACAGCCACTGCAGGAAGATCCAGTGAGGCTCTTACTCTGCACTACCACCATCTTTGGTTATCCTTAGTCCCAATCTAGAAGGTGGTGGCTGTTGAGTGTCTCCTCCCCTACGACCTGCCAAGTGCTCCTTGACATGGGGTGAACCAATGTAACAAATCACTACTACCAAAAGGGGACAAGCCTACTCTCTTCCACTACACTGGTTTTTTTCTTCTTCTTGCTGTCCACACACTCAGCACCAGCTCTGGCAGCCAACAGACCCTTACGTGACCTGAATCAACTGATGTTGTTTAACCTAGGAGAAAACTAACCCAGGAGAAGAAAAGATGTGGACAGCTTCCCACCAGTCTAACAGGCTCAGCCAGTTCAGGGAAGGATCCCACAATCACCGCAGCCGGTGCCAGGCAGAAGGCATACCCATACAGACCAGAAAGGAGGAAGAGGATGCAGCAACATTTCTCTCGCTGGTAGCAGCAAAACTCCCAGTTTTGCTCAGCAGCTTGTTAAACCAGCAAAAAACCTCCACCTTTTTAGCATTTACCTGAATTCATTTCTGAAGCAGACTACACTAAGCCTCACTGCCACTTCTTGACCAGAGGAAAAAAAAAAAACCAACAGTGAAACAACTAGGGCATTTTTAATCCATATCCTTCCTTATTGGTAGTGAGCCTCCTCAGAAACCAAAGTCCTCCCTGGTACAGAGGCCTCTGAACTTTTGACTGTCAGTTGCGTAACTTCTGGCAGGGGTGAAAAAAGGCATGATTGGTTTCAGAAGGCCTTGACCAGGTGGGAACGTCACCAGCTCAACACAACAGACTGGAGCAGCTTCGTAAGCAGAACTGCTCCAGGATAAGAATCACCTTACTCTGCAAAAGCGTCCACCCAGGGACCCAGCAGGCTGCCGAGGCGGGATGTGGGGAGCCATGGAAAGCACCTGCCCTTCAACTACTGTAAGCGGCACTTCCAGGCAAAGGTCTTCGCTGATTTACCTAGATTTTCTCTATCACACAGAAGGACATTATCATCAGGAACAAACTTCACATTTTTGACAAACAATGTAATTAAAAAATGGCTGTATCTACTCCAGTAGTTCAGAAGATGCCTCTAATTTTGTAATGCTTATGAACAAGCACGTAACTTGCTTTACAGCCTTATCTTCAGGCATCTGAGAAGTACAGGCTACTTCATATGACAATAAATGTTTACCCTACGATCAAGTGAGCTTTTTAGGTGGAGAAACTTTCAGCTTTTCCTCCTTCTAGATTTGCTCATTTCTGCTCTTTCAACACAGGTCACCACCTCCTCTGTTGTGTAAAAAGCACTTGGAAGTGATGGTAACAGAGCCATTACATCATCCAGATTATGACAATGGGAAAAAAACCTAAGCCATTAAAATACACACCTCCAGCCTGGATCATATCACAGATCCATGCTGAGAGGTTGCCTTGCAGTCAGCTGAGCTGACAAAATTGTGAAGGAATGGAAACCTGGGGCAGAATACAGGGAAGGATCAGAACCTCTTAGGCTGCCTTTGCCCCTACAGGAATCACAACACACCCACACCTCCCTGAGGGCCAGGATCAGTGGGTGGAAATTAAAAAATAATACTTAGAAATTGTACTTTGGTGTAAGTTAGACCTTCAACCTACCTCACATGCTTTATTTTTTACTGTGACAGAGACACATTGTAGCCTTACAGCTAATCAAGAGAAGCAACTGAGTTGGCTATTGTAGAAGATGTGTCAGGGCTTGCTTAGATAAGGGCCGCGTGTGCTGTGCTCTGCTGATCCTGGCCAAGAACCACTGGTACCTTCGACAGGATAAACTAGCACAGCCCTGTGGCTATTCTCTTTCTTTCCAAGTGCTGATTCAGCACTTGGCTGCCCTGTCAGAGGAAGTATAAAGATAGCTTAGAGGTACATTTGCTTCCTCACCCAAACTCAGCCAAAGCCTGAACCCGTAACAAGTCAGTAATGTTAAGACAGGCCAACCCAACGAAATTTACACAGAATTCAATGCTCGCTGACAATGCTCTTGACTGTAAGAGTGAACTACTGATGTCGCATGAATGCTACTTCTGAAGGCTGGTACATGTGAGCCTTGAATCCTGCTGTCTACACACAGGACCAAGACATACGTTACACCCAATCACAAGTACTTCTACCCTTCTCTCTGAAATTAACTACTTGTCCTTAACTATGTGTAAAGCACCGTGTGTGCTGTCATTGCACAGAAATTACACAGGTAGAGTAAAATCTTTACTTTCCCTTCTAAGTACCAAATATTATTAAAACAAAACCCAGAAGGTGAAAGATCCTACCTCAGAGCATCTTCTGCACCTACGTATATAAGCAGAAAGTTGCAACAGTTGTATATAGTCTGTATGGTTCATAGTTTTAGCCTGCAAGGAAAAAGTTCTGCTCACCATGGAACAAACAAAACCACTTCACCAATACCACTAAAACATGCATGGGATCAACATCAAGACATAATGTGGAATAACTTAACTTTGCACTTAGTTGAAACAGGGTACACAAACACAAACTGGGGAGGTCTGCTTTGGCATAGATTTCTGTTAACAGAGTCCGGGACTGTAGTCCGCAGTGTTACTTCAAAGCACCTATCTCCTTCATGAAAACATAAATTCTTTCTTACCACAACTATTTGAGAATAAAAGGCATTTAAAAGCATTTTCATAAGTGCCAAAATATGTAGATACAAATTTTCTTCTGGGAACTTTTCAACCTAAGTGTTTCTTTAAGCCAGAGGAGAAAAAAACCTCATCATTCTCAGAAAAATCAAATGCAGTTAACATATGAAAAAGGCAGAAAATAACAGAAAGCTTCACAGTGC